TTTTTTGGTTTTTCGAGACAGGGTTTCTCTATAGCTTTGGAGCCTGTCCTGGAACTAGCTCTATAGACCAGGCTGGTCTCGAACTCACAGAGATCCGCCTGCCTCTGCCTCCCGAGTGCTGGGATTAAAGGCGTGCGCCACCATTGCCCGGCTTAGTTAGGGTTTTATTGCTGTGAAGAGACACCATGACCGTGGCAACTCTCTAAAAGGAAAACGTTTAACTGAACTAACTTACAGTTTCAGAGGTTTAGTCCATTATCATCATGGTAGCATGCAGGCAGACATGGTGCTGGAGAAGGAGCCGAGAGTTCTACATCTTGATCCGCAGGTAGCAGAAGGAGATTGTGAGCTACACTGGGTATAACTTGAACCTAGGAGACCTCAAAGCCTGCCCCTCCCCACCAGTGACACGGTTCCTCCAACAGGGCCACATCTCCTCATAGTGCCACTCGCTATGAGCAAGCTTGCACACCTGAGTCTATAGAGGCCATACCTATGGACCACCAGCAGTGTGTTCTGTGTCCAGGGCTTGGGGTCGTGAAGGAGGAAAAACAGCACTTAGTGGGAAACAGGCTGAACATCCTGACTTCAGAGGATGGATAAGGCATGCAGAGGGAGAGTGGAGTGACCTGGAACCACAGCCTAGCATTCTGTCCTCAGCCCCAGAGCATGAAAGGCAGCCCCACGCATGGCCTGTCTCTTTGCTCTGATTGGCTGTGAGAAACTGATGGGCTCTTGGGAAACCTTTTCTCTTCTCACAGGGTGCTGTGGAGATCATCTTCAAAGGACACCAGGATGTGGAAGCCGCCCAGGCAGAATATGTGGAGAAGTTCGCCAACCCTTTCCCTGCAGCCGTGAGAGGTGGGCCGAGTGGAGGCAGGCGCTGTCCATCTGCCCCGTCATTTGCTGGTTCTTTCTCGGCATCTTTCATAGTTGTCTTTCATCTTTGCAGTTGCCTCTGGGGAGTGAAGGGGCTGCCTCCGGGCAGGATCTGGGGCCGATAAGGCTGCTGATAGGTTTCTGTTTCTAGGTGATGGTTTGATCATCCAGTCCACCCAGACCTGGTGGCTGAAACCCTCTCATCCCCCCACTGTGTCCTGGGCTTCCCTGGGTGGCTCTTTGGGTTTGCCTGGGTTTGTTCTCACTAGAGTCAGCCTCTGGCTTGACAGTCCAAGATGGCCTTTCTTTCAAGATAATGGTGGCTGCTTGCTGGTCCTTCCTCACTTCTCTAGACCTGTCCAGGCTTTTCTTCTTGGTGTCCCGGGAGTAGGTAAAAAGGAAGGAGACTTAGGTCCTGAGGCCTAGGGCTGGGGAAACCCCATGGTAACCTTTGTCACATTGTATGGATAAAAGCAAGTCACAGGGGTAGGGAGAAAAACTGTCTCTCCATGGAGGAAGCAAAATTTTACTATAAGGACCCATGGACAGGCAGGGAGAAGTTGTTGCATGTGTTTACTTTTTTTTTTTTTCGGTTTTTCTAGACAGGGTTTCTCTGTGGCTTTTGGAGCCTGTCCTGGAACTAGCTCTGTAGACTAGGCTGGTCTTGAACTCACAGAGATCTGCCTGCGTCTGCCTCCCAAGTGCTGGGATTAAAGGCATGCGCCACCAGCGCCCGGCTGTGTTTACTTTATTTTAAAAAATCTTGTTTATTATTTATTTGCCTATGTGTATAGTGCATGCACACGCATGCCTACAGAGGCCAGAAGAGGGCATCAGATCGCTTTGAGCTGGAGGTACTAGCAGTTCTGGACGACCTGAAGTAGGTTTAGTGATCCCTCCTCAGGTCCTCTGGAAGAGCTGCAGTGCTCCTAACTGCTGAGCCATCTCTCCAGCCACACACATATTTTTTTAGTTTTATTTCCTGTTGAGTCCATCCTGGCAGGGTGGAGGCTCTGGCTCAGGGCAGGAAGGGAGAGGTCACATTTCCCTTATCTTGCCTAGTGCTCCTTTGCCAAAGGTTAGGAGCCCAGCAGAGCAGAGGCGCCTCAGAGGTCCAAGGAGGGTTTGTAGGCTTGCGTCTCTCTGCCAGGTCAAGCGCTGCCCACACCGTTGGCCTGTGGGGCTGAGAGTGGCTGGGTAGATGACCACCCACACAGTGATCTCCTTTTCTCCGATTCCCCAGGGTTCGTGGATGACATCATCCAGCCGTCCTCCACTCGTGCCCGGATATGCTGTGACCTGGAAGTCTTGGCCAGCAAGAAGGTCCATCGCCCTTGGAGGAAGCATGCGAATATCCCACTGTGAGCAGCTCAAAAGAAATGGACCAACAGTGGAACTGGCCACTCGTAGGCCACCGCTGCCTTTTATAATCATGAAAATGGGATCTACGTACCTTGGAAGTTGATTAAATTTCAGAAAGAGTTCTTGTACCTGGTGTAAAATTATTTGCTATATCAAAATCTTAGTTGGTATTTTTTGAGTAGGTATTTTATTTTTATAGTAAAAATCTCAATCAAAACAAGAAAGCCAGAAGGGAAAAACACTCACATGCACACGCACGCCCTGTCATGTGATCCCGTCAGGATGGTTCTCACAGACTCCAGCCGTGGAGCCCTGCCATTGATCTCGGAACTGCACGCTTACCACTTTATAAAGTTAGCCTGCCTTCAGTATTTTGTAGAGCAATAAAAACAGAATATAGCATACCTGTTTATCCCCCACCCTGGGAATTAATTTACATCCCCAGGAAAGATAATAGGGTTTAGGGCAGGCAGTTAAGTAGGAGTAAGCCCTGATTCCCATGACTCGTTGATGGTTATATGAACGTCTATGATGCCAGTTTGTCAGCAGAGCAGATTCTCAGGAAGGTGTAGCATCCAGTATTGACTCCTGTGGTTTCCAGACCACGAAGGTAGGTGTTCCTGCATTTCCAAACTCCTCTGTTCTGATGATGGTCATGACTGTGAAGTGTTCCTAGGACTGTATCATGTGCCCGACACCAATCGCCAGTTGTTAATGTTGTGCACGTGCATATGTGAGTGTGTGTGCGTGTGTGTGCGCGTGCGTGTGTGAATGTATGCATATGTGCGTGTGTGTGCGTGTGTGTCTTAAGTGACTGTCATGGCTCTTGTGTGTGGCCAGAGGACAACTTGGCAGGAATTATTTCTCTCTTTCCACCATGTGGTTTGAGGATCTTGGTGGCAGGTCCCTTTGCCCAAGAAGTCCCTCAATTTGGATTTGCCTGGTTGTCTCCCGATGTTTAGTTTGAGGAAAGAGTAATAACAGCCCTCTTGGTGTGTTACAGCAGGCGGACATGACATAGGTTTCCCTGTTACTGGTAATCGACCATGTGGCCTCAGAGGTGATTATTTCCCAGATTGTTACTGGCATGTGGGGCATTCAGCCCTGCTGGGTGACAAGCTTCCTGTTTGTTGCTGGAGCTTGCTCGATTCCTGAGCTACTTGTCAGATGAGAAGACTCGAGGCCCGTCTTCATCCTGTGTTTATGTGTTAGAGGCAGCACTCTTCTCTGCCTGCTTTTTTCGGAGGTCAGTTTATACCTGTCTTCTTTTGGTTTCACTGTAACTCATTTTGATGCTCACAAGGGAAGCTCCTTCAAGCTAGTCCCTTAGGCTTCGGTATCTTCTAGTAATTATTGGAGAATTTCCTTATTTTCTGACACCTGGTAATGGTCTAATTTCTTCCTTGTCTGGTCCCAGAGCCCATGTTTTCTCTAAGGAGCTAAAGTTAGGAGGACTGTCATTTTTTTGCTGGATGTTCCTGTGTGACCCTCCAGCAAAAAGTGGGGCTGGATGTTCTCATTTCTACTGAGATGTCATAGCCAGCATCGGAAAGAATTCACATAAATATGTCTGAGACCTCTTCATTGTGTAGTGACAATACCTAAGCAAAACAATTAAAAAAATACTTAGCTCATGGTTTTGGAGGTGTCAATTGCTTGTTCCGAGGTGAAGCAGAACTTCACGATAACAGGGTCATGTGTTGTAGAGCTTGCTGCCAGGAGGAAGGGGCACACAGCACATCTGTCTATTACCTCCAGTGATCTGCTCTAAGCCCCTACTTCCTGCTTTGATCTCTTCTCTGTGATGTCTTCCTATGAATCCACAAAGAGATTAGCCCACTGATGAGGACAGAACCCTTGGGATTGCTCTCCAATGCCATCAACTGTAACAAGGCCCCCGGTCCATGTGCAGGTGGGGTACAATTCATAGTTACACCTTTATAATGTTTGTAAGGGTGGGGGCTATAAATAAAAGTTTAAATTACAGAATTTCGAATTCCTAATCCTAGGAGTCATTGCCATCCTCACTTTGTCTTTATGTCCGGGCACAGGAGGTGATAACCCTGGCTCCCATTACAAGCGCGGCCCACTCACTCGCTCAGTGCTCTAAGTGCATACTGTATTGTAACTGTGCAGCAGTAAGGCTGAAGTTTCTTCCTGTTCTTTGTCTTTCCACGACAATGTAGTCATGTCCCCTGGTCTGGAGCAGGACGGGCACGGCTTCAGTGGTTCGGACATGTGTGTTTGTTCACGTGCTCTCTGAAGTTGTCTCCCATGCCCTGATGACCTTAATTTGCTGATTGAGCATTGTGCCTACGGTTGCCCCCGAGCTGGAGACTTTAGCTGTGGGCTGCCGCTGCGAGCTGAGCAGTGATTGCATTCGTCTTCTTCCCAGTGGAGGGCTCAGGTGTGTTACATTCCTAGGCTCTTCAGGTGTGCGTGTCTTCTGGCTGTTACACTGTTATTTCAGAGTCAGGTGATCGTGTGTCGCACACTTTCTTTGTACCTGATAGCAGTGTGACCTGGATGACCGTCCTCCAGGGGTGTTGCTGGCGGCTTGGTGCTGTTGCAGGCAATGGAGCCTTTTAAGAGATGGAGCCTTACAGATGAAGTGAGGTCGTAAGTGTTGTTGGGGTCCCAGCCCTTTCCACTCCCAGGGTAAACTTTGAAAGAGTGGATTATTGGGAGGCTCTGGAAATGGCTCAGTGGTTAAGAGCAAGTACCGCTCTTACAAAGGACCCACGTCTGGTGGCCCACAGTTAGGTGTGACTACTTTGTGTACTATAGGGTTGAAGTCCTGTAAGACAGTCCTGAGAGTGGGGTGTAGAGCCAGAACAGAAGTGGAGACCCAGCATGTCAGACGCCAGGGACATGGATTGCCTACTGTGAGGGGCACACCAGGCAGTAAGCACAGCCAGCCCAAAAGAATGACAATGTGGACCACAGCCAGGAGGCTCACAGGTGAGGGACACCCATGCCCTTCGCAGTGTACATCACCATGTGCCTTGGGTGTTAGATGCGGACTTGCAGGAGGCTCACAGGTGAGGGACACCCATGTCCTTTGCAGCGTACATCACCATGTGCCTTGGGTGTTAGATGTGGACTTGAAGGATCTATGTTGTCAGCTGGTTATGTTTTGTTTTGGGTCTCTTGTTTGTTTGTTTTGGTTTTTTGTTGTTGGATTTTTTGAGACAGGGTTTCTCTATGTAGCCCTAGCTGTCCTGGAACTCAATCTGTAGACCCTGCTGGCCTCAAACTAACAGATCCATCTGCCTTTGCCTTTTGAGTGCTGGGCTTAAAGGCGTGTGCCTGCACTGCCTGATAGCATTGTATCTTTAAACTGTGTAATTTGCTTTTGCTTTTTACCAGAGCTCACAAATGCATTTATTTGCCTTGTGTGTCAAAGGAAACGTTACATTTGAACTTTAGTGCAACATTGGACCAGTTAAAACTTCAGATGATCTAAAACTGCATTTTGCATTATGAAGTGGACGTGAGCCTTTGGGGGGCCAGAGTGGAATGTTATGGTTTGGATATGTGACCTCCAAAGCATTGTAGACCTGGTTCTCAGTCTGGGGTGCTATTGGTTAGAACTTTTGAGAGATGGAATCTAGCAGGGGGAGTTGGGCCATGAAGGGTGTGCCCTAGAAGGAATAATGGGGTCCCAGCACCTTACTATGCTTCCCACTGCACGGAGTCTTCAGGCTTCCTCCACTGCACCCTTCTGCCATGATGTGATTCGCTGCATATACCCAGGAGGATTATGACTGGCTCATACTGAATCGAGTCGCTCCCAAACACCGAGAAGGAGTCGCCCCCAGAGACCATCTCACACACTACAGCCGATGCAAAAGCATGGAGGATTTTATTAATTCTGTCATGACAGGGTCCCCCAGCATTTGGGAAGCCAAGGGACCTCGAATAGCGGTTACAGTATATTTTTAAAGGGGCCACAGAAGCAAGGGGGGTTGTTCTTTGACTATTCTGATTGGCTAATTTGAAAGGGCTATTACCAATAATTGACTGGAGAGCTGTTGCCAGATCAGATGAGGTAAGAGGTCATTTTGACCCCGTTTCCCAGGGGACTGAACCAAAGCATACGTATATGGGTAATTGTTCAGGAACTGAGTACGTGCATGTGTAGCTGTTAGGTCCTTGGTTCCCAGGGGAGGAGGGGAAGCACTATGGCACAGAGGCTGAGAGAATTCTGAATTGTCAAAAATGGCTTCAGGATTGTCTTAAAGTCTTACAGTGCTGTTTTTAGTTTTCTGAGGAGTCCCATACTGTAAGAAGTAATCAAATATGATTTTTTTCTATCAAATACTATGAATGTTGTGTTTAGGAATTCAAATCTTTTTATTTCTCAAACTTGGTCAGACTTCTGTGCAAATGTCTTAACCTCCCCCACCCAGGAAAACCTTTGTTTACACGGGGGCCTACTACTGTATTTTAGGAATTTGATGGCTTGGAACAGTGACCTTTTCCTCCTTCATTTTCTATGTGCCAATTCTTTCCAGAGTAGCCAGTTGAATTAAGACTGTGAACTTGGACTCCTGCCCATGGGGAAAAGACAGTCACTACCTGGGTTAGAATTACAAAACCTGTCTCAGAGTGTTTGCTCTTCTGAGCACACCCTCTTGATCAAGAGTAAGATTTACTTTGCTCAGACACTTTCGTAGAAATGTTGGCACCTTTCTTTGTAACTTATTCTAACAATTTGTGGAGTTCTTTTTTGGGGGGGAGTCCTTGCTCATCAGAGGGTGGCCTTCAGATCCCCCAACCTGGGGAAATGTGTTTCATCTATTTATTTTGGTTGTTCTTGAGTGCTGGGCCTCTGTCACTCATCATATCAGCAAAAGAACCCAAGGATTAGAAGTCTGGACAAAGCCAGAAGAACTGGCCCAAGGAAATTACCATGGCAAGTAGGATTTCTCTGTGCACAGACCAGAGGTAAGAAATACTGTGGGCAACAGCAAAGTATTCCTGTGGCAGTGGGGTCATCTTGGGTGTTGAGACATGCTTTTGACATGAAAAAGTGCAAGAAACTTCCATAAAGTGGTGTTAAGCACAGAATAAATCAAGATGGGAAAATAATGTGGGTACTGATAAGTAAAAATATCCCTCAGCA